AGTAACAAGTCGCAAATAATAGGTAATACGTAGAGGGTAACTGGTTATGTAATGGGTAGTAGGTAACATGTCACATTTAGTATGTTGCCAATAACAGATCACATGAAACACCTTTCATGTAGTAGGTAGTAGGTCGTTTGTAACAAATAGGGTTGAAAATAAGTTAAGTTGAGTTGAGGTTGAAAATAAGTTAATAGGGTTCGAATGAATATTTTTTTTAGCTTGAACTTATTTTGGTTCAAACTTGTTAGTAACTCAATTCAACTCGTTAGCTTGAATCACATGAACTAAGAGTATTTTTTTTAATCTTAAACATTTCAAAATTTTATTTTAATACTAGATTTTAGACAAAATAATTTTTAATTTGTTTAAAAGGACAAAACATAACTTATTCTATTAATTTTGTTAGGTTATAAGGTATGATTATAAAAAATATATAATGACAACCAAAGTTTGTATAAATAAAAATTACTCCACCTTGCATAAAATTTAGAAAATTCAATCCATAACCATAAAACTTTATTTTTTTCACTTCGTTCATTATTATTAACTTATTATTGAGTTTTGAAGGTTCTTTCAAATTTTAATAAGTTGAAATTAAATAAAAAGAATTACACAAATTATATATTCATATGTCAAGTTGATTTATGAACACAAGTTAAATTATATACAACTCAAGTTCAGCTCATTTAATTATCAAACTTAATTTTTAGTTCAAGTTCAACTTATTTGGTTTTTGAACCAAGTTCAATAGACTAATTATCAAACCGTGTTTTGAACTATTTTCGAGTTAGTTCAGTTCATTGCCACCTCTAGTAGGTAATACGTAACAAGTTGCAGTAGTAGTGGTTGTAGCAAGAAACATGTTGCAAGTAGTGTGTAGTAGGTAGCTTATAAGTAACATGTTATAGTTAGTGAGTAAAAGGTTGCAAGTAGTAGGTCACAAGTTGTAGGTAGAAGGTAGTGGGTAATGGGTGGTAAGTAACATGTTGTAGGTAGTAGATAACAGGTAACAAACTATAGGTAACAAGCCATACATAGCAGGTAGCATGTAATAGGTCGTAGGTCGCAAGTAACATGTAGTAGAAAACATGTCACACATAATAGTAGCAATAGTAAGAAGCAGGTCATGGGTAATGTGTAGCAAGTAGTAGTCGTAGGTAGTAAGCTGTGGTAAAAGGTTGTAGGTAGTAGGTCGTTGGTAGTAAGTGAAAGGTGACATGTCGCAAATAAACAATAACAAGTCATAAATAGAAGGTAATGTGTAACAAGTCGTAGGTAATGAATAACAAATAACAGGTGGTTGGTAGTAATTAACAGGTAATGAGTAGTAGGTACCTGGAAGCAAGTAGCAGGTAACAACTAGCAGGTAGTAGATTGTAGGTAACATGTCATAGGTAATAGGTTGTATGTAGTGAGTAGTAGGTAACATGTCACAAGTAACAGGTAACAAGTCGCAGGAATGAGGTCGTAGGTAGTAAGTTGCATGTAATAGGTAATAGATAACAGGTCATAAGTAGTAGGTTTCATGTAGTAGGTAGCAAGTAACATGTCATAGGTAATAGGTAACAAGTAGTGGGTCATAGGTAGTGGTAACATGTAATAGGTAGTTGGTGACATGTAGGGTTTAAGGTTTAGGGTAATAGGTAATATGTAACATGTAACAGGTCGTAGATAAGAGATTGTAGGTAGCAAGTCGCATGTAACAGGTAAAAAGTAACAACTCGCAAGTAGTAGGTCTCATCTAGCAGTTAGCAAGTAAACAATCACAAGTAAATAAGTCACACGTAGCAGGCAACATGTCGTAGGTAGTAGGTAACAAGTAGCAAACTACAGATAACCTACAACATGTTGCAGGTAAAAGATAATACCTAGCATGTAATTTTGATTAGTGATTATAATTTTTCATTTTAACACTAATAAATTTTAAAATTTAAATTACAACAATTAATTTGTATTATACATTTATTGTAAAAGGTTAAATCAATGTCATATTTGACTATCATGTTAGGGCTAAACCCTAAACTATCATATTCATGACAAAATTATGTGTACTATATATATATATTTCTAGAAAAAAAAACTCTTCGTGTCTCTATTAATTTGTTTAAAAATAATAAAAATAAAAATGATAAAATTTATAATATTTAAATTAAGTTAGATAATGTATAATTTAAAAAGGTAAATAATCTAAAACAAATATGGGAACCAGATATAGTTATAAAATAAGTGGACAATTATTATTGATAGAGTGGATAATTAAAATTTTGTATACATATTTTTTTCTTCTTCCTATTTTACCTTAAGAGATATGATGGTGAGAAAATGTAAAATATATAATGAAGAAGTATAAATGTCTCTCCTTTTGGTGGGGGTCAAATAGGCAGGGAAACAAAGGCATTCACTGGTTAAATTAGGAGAAGTTATCTACAAGAAAAGAATACGACGAAATGAGATTTCGACACCTTTATGGCTTTAACCTAGCCATGCTAGGGAAGCAAGGTTGGAGAATTCTTTCTAACCCAAATACTATATTATCAAGAGTTTTCAAATCGAAATATTTCTCAAGAGGGGATTTTTTGGAGGCCCAACTAGGTCACAATTCAAGTTATGTATGGCGTAGCATCCATGCTTCACGGGTAGTAGTAAAAGGTAGCCTAAGATGGTGCATAGGTAATGCAAGAAGTTTGAATGTTTGGCATGACCCATGATTCCGTAATCCCATAAATTCCTATGTAACAACACCTATTCCAGAAGGCCATGAAAACCTTGCAATAGCAGAGCTTATTGACATGAACGTAAGAAGGTGGAACCAAGACCTTTTATCTGCTTAGTAATTTGCATGAGCATGACACACCCACATGGAAGCTCTCACATAAAGGTTCTTACTCTGTGAAGTATGCTTATTATTACGTGATGGAATCACTTATATCCAATACGCATCTTTGAGTGCCAGGAAAATGGAAACAACTTTGGAGCTTAAAAGTCCCGAATACCATGAAGATTTTTCCATGGAGAATAGCTTGTGGGTGTCTACCATCATTTATGAATTTACAGCAACATAGTGTCCCCTATATTTCTCTATGCGCACACTACAACTTAAACCAAGAAAATGAATGACATATTTTCTTCGGATGCTAAACAACAAAATCAATCTGGATGGCCTTCGGCCTTTATCCATTGATAAATGCCTATGTAGACAACATGGAGGATTTTAAGGATACTATTTTCTTCCTACTACCAAACCTGCATCATGATATTATGTGTAAAGTTACAGTAATCCTATGGTTCATTTGGAGGAATAGGGATGATAACGTATGGTCAGACATTACAACTCCTTCTAGGATAACAATCCATAAAGCCATGCAAAGATACTCAAAATGGCAGTTTGCGAAGATAAAAGACAAATCAATCTCCCAATAGCAAACACATACTAGCACTTGGACCAAACCACCTCCAGGTTTACTAAAATGTAATGTTGATGCAACTGTCTTCAAGGAAGAAAATATTATGGGCTTCGGCCTATGCATTAGGAATGAAGATGGAAATTTTGTTAAAGTTAAATCTGGTTGGCATCATGATTTCATAGACTCTCAAGAAGCTGAAGTTTTAGCTCTCTTAGAAGCCCTCACATGGCTTAGTGATGTAGGCATCACAAACGCTATTATAGAAATGGATTCCAAGCAAGTAGTTGATGATGTGTTAAGCTTCATTCCTATCTCTACAGAATATGGTCATGTTTTAAGTAGATGTTAGTTATTACTACATTCTCATTCGAACTTATCGGTAAGGTTCATTAGGAGGTAAGCAAATCAGGTCGCTCACACTTTAGCTAGGACGTCCAGGTTTCATGCTAGCTCCACTAGTTTTGATTTGATTTCACCCTATACTGAAATTTTATTTTTAATAAATTAAGTTGAATTGATTTGCTTAAAAAAAAGTATAAATGTCTATAAAATTATAAAAATCAAATAAATGCATCTCCTTTATATATAATTAGTATGATTGATACACTTCATACCTTTATATTTTATTTAACAAAAATATTTAAGAATTATCAACATTTATTAAATTAACTAAAATTATGTTTGACTCTTAAATTTTAAGGTCTCAGATTTAATTTTTATAAATTAATTTTTAATATTATTTTATTTAAATATTTAAAAATAAAATTATTTATATACAACAACAAACAATCATTTTTATATATGTTATAAATTATAAATATAAATAAAAATAATGAAATTTATATTTATTGATTTTTATACTAAAAGAAAATCTTATTAATGTGCTGTTGAAATAACATACACATTTATCACAATCATTAAATGCACATTTATCACAATCATTAAATTCGAACTATGTGATTAGAGCAACTCCAATGGGAGTTGCTTGTCCTATAAAGCAACTCAAATCTCGATTTCTTGCCATTGGAGGATTCTGACGTAGCAACATGAATTGTTTGAAGAAGAGAGAGAGTTGCTTCCTCAAGCAACCGTTCCTTACCAGATTTTAAGCAGATCTTATTGAACATATTTGGAAGCGTTTCGAAAATAATAATGATGAAAATTAATTTCGTATAATATTTATGTATTTATTATTGCTTTATTTTATTTTTAATATCTACTTATTGTGTATTTTTTCTCATAATTTATTTTCTTTCATTGTAGCGTAATTATCCTTTTTAATAAAAATTTAAATTTAGTTCATAAATGATTAGAAAAAAAATTCTAAAAGTTGAATTTCTTAAAGTTTCTTATCATTGAAGTAAATTTGTGTTTGAGTTGCTTAATGCTGATATGACACACTAAAGACCACTTTTTTCATTTTTCAATGCATGAAGCAACTCAAATGAGTTGCTTCTATTGGAGATGCCCTTATTATCGTAAATTTTTTTATAGATTAAAAAGTAATTACCCGCAATAAACTCTAGAATTATTCTGATTTAACATATTGGACCAAAAATAAAATGAAAATTTGAAATTTACAAACTCTACCGGGTTCGACATTACATAGGATTATTAATAAAGCGTCTCGTATCCGTGTTTGTCTCTCTCTCCTCTGCTCGCTGCTTGCTCGAAGAGCTTCGGAGGGCAAAGTTCACCAATCCATGGATGCATCTCGGATCGACGTCTTTGAGATTTATCGAAGATACTGTGGTAATCTCCCTCACTTCCCCTTTTCAATCCCACGCAGCAAACTTCAATTCGGTTTTTGATTATGCAGCAAGTTTTGTTTTTCTTTTGTTTCTCCAATATTTTGTTCTTTTGGGTCGCGGAAATTTAATTCTTTCTTTTCTGGGTCTTGTGGCATGGCTTAATTTGATCATCGTGGTATTGGTATAGTTTTCTCTCTCTAAGAAAAAAAAAGGGAACCGGAAGAATAAGAATTTAGTTTTAAATATGATTTTTTGGTTAGTTATGTTTGTGGTGATATGTATGTGATTATTTATTATTTATTAATATTATTATTATTTTATTTATTTGAGTGTGGTTGTACAGAGATAAAATCAGGACATGCATATGTTACTGGGGAAGAAGGGTACAGGCAAGACAGTGACCTTCAGAAGGCTAAGGTCTCAAGGGAGGCACTCACACAGCTCTCAAAATTGGTGGAGTCTCGAGTTAGTGCAGGGTATGTGTTTCTTTGAGATTTTCCTGTGATAATTTTGAAGCCTATGAGTGTTTTTGTACTATTCATAGTAGACAATGGCAAATAACGGCATAGAGGGGTCGACCCCAAAAATGGTATATCAGTATAGCGGATAGCGTGATGATCGTCGTGAACCCTAAACCCAAACATAGTTTTATATAACACATATTTGCTGAAAGATAAAAAATACCTAAAATTTATGACATTCATAATTAATGATAAAAGATTAGAGTTTGAGAAGTAAACACACGTTTCAATCAGCTGAGCATGATGTGAATCTGCTGGGAATTGTCTGGGTTTGTCTGAAATCTGTCAGGAGTTTACGTGGGCCGCTGGAATCTGTTGGCAAAGGTTAGGGTTTTAGTGGGTGGTGGTGGGGGTGGTGTTGGTGGAAATGATTTTGACATGGTTTCAGTGTGCAAATGATCTGGACAGGGTCTCCAAAACAGGTTTAACATAAGAGGGGTGGGGTGGGGGTGAAATCCCAAGATTGCCACCCGCCTAAAACATCTTCAAACAGTTTATGTTCAGGGTCAAAATGGCTTTATGCCTGTTAATGCAATAGCGTTTGTGATGGCCACGAAAGGCTGCGGTTCACACCACTCCAGGTGCGACAGCGAGCTGCGCCATGAAGCCATTATTGCACTACTATAGGACACAGTTGAAAACGCAGGCACTAATATGATTTCTTTTGCTACTTGTTCTTGACTCATGTTAGGATGGTTATTATTCTAAGGCAAACATTTTGGAACTCTGATGCTAATTTGTTGATTTCTAAGTATCAATAAGTAGTTCATTATTTAAGGAATTTTATGTTGATTCTCTCTTGCAAATGGGAATATATTGGACTCAGAAAGACACTTATTTTTCAGTGGTAGTTTCTTATGGAACAATTGTACAAATACAACAAACTTGCGTCATGATTTTAAGTTAAAAATTGTGAATATTGCTGCAAATCCTCTTCCATTGGTCTTGTACTTTCCTTTATAGTCTCAATTTCAAGCAGTGCATTTAGTTCTGTGATTTGGAAATAACTCTGGCAGATTTTAAACAAGATATGAAGTAAGACAAGAAGATTATATTTGACTTGGTAATTATTGAATTTAACAACCATGCCAGAATTATTATGATGATGACATGACAAAGGAAATAAGTTTACAAAGAGAATTTGGTCTTGGATGAAGAGGTCTGATGATGCATTTATGATTCAAAAAAATAACAAAATTGGCATTCGTGTCACCTGATTGAGGAATTGAGAAGTACAATGTGATTATTTAGTTCCATTTCCATCCCAAAGTAATGAGGACAGGGATACATGGATTGTGTTATACCATTTATGTTAATAAGAGAAGGCCAAGGCCCATATGTTGGAACTTGGAATAAAAATCTTTGTAGTTTAAATGAGGCAAATTTTCCTTCAAGGAAACCATGAATACTAAAGGGGGAGTTCCGTTCTCAATAATCAAGGGGAATATGACAATGGAAATATGTTCAGTAATTAATCTTTTGCAGTTTTGCTTCTATGAAAAAACATTAAAATTGGGATCTATTGGGGAAAACCTAAGTTCCACATCGACTAAAGATAAGAGAAAGAAACAAAATTTATAAATAGGGGGCAATCCTCATTGTACAAGTCAGATTTATAGGGTTGAATTAGACTCAAACTCACTTTCTAAGATGATATTAGAGCTATCTAGATACACTTTAAAAGGGTCACCTACCATTGATATACGCAATTGACCCAATAGTGTTGGGTGTGAGGCGGTGTATTGAAAAAAACCTAAGTCTTAGCTATCCTAGATCATTAAAACGGGTCATCTACCATATATTCACATACCAAACCTAAGAGTGCTGGATGTGCAGGGATGTTTTGGAAAAAATCTAAGTCTCGTATCGATTAGAAATAAGACAAATAAAAAGTTTATAAGTGGGGGATAATTCTCACCTTATAAGTTGGTTTTGTAGGATTGAGTTAGGCTCAAACCCACTTTCTAAGAAGATGATACGAAACAAACAGAAATTCTGAATGAGCAATCAAAATGTTTAGATTCATGCTGTTTTAGATAACTGCTTTCAAGCTAACTAAGATAATAGGTGTTGAAACTGCTCGTTCAGTAGTTCAGGTGATGCTGTTCATATGATAACATCATATAGATGCATGATTGGATATGTTTTTATGTCTATTTCTGTGATGAGCATAAGTGTTCTATTACAAAGTCTGTGGAATTTTCTACATATTGTTGTTTTTGGTATTTTTGGTATGGAAAATGTGGGCTTCAGGCTTCACCTTAACCCTGACAATTTTTGGGTTATGATTGGATCTTGGGTTCTTTACATTTGCAATCTGCATTAAAGTTATGCTTCTAAATTGTTTTTCCACTCTCCTCTCCAGCTAAATTTTCATGTGTATTGAAGTTGCTGCTGTATCATGTGTAGGTTAATTTTAATTTAAATGTTCATGAAATTATTTGATTAGACCATGTGTGCATCTTTCTTATATAACAAAATTGTTGACATGCCAAATTTTCCAGGGTAACAATTTTTGATGAACTTTCAATGCTCATGTCACGGTTGGATTTGACGGTGAGCTTTGATTTCTTTGACACTATTCATTTATGCAGTTTCATATATTTTTATCCAAGAAAATGTTTTCTTTCTACTAGTACACAAGTATGTTTTACCATTTCCTTTTCTGAATTATATAAGAAGAGTTTTACTGCTATCAGTTGCATCAGTCGGATGCACAGAAGTAAGACACCAAATAACATATTAACATCCCTTGCCTCTGTCACTGAGACTTTTCGAAAATAAAAATGAAATTCCAAGTGATTGTGCATTATCTATACTCTAGGGAGAGGGAAGAAAAAATGATATAGCATGTTGCAAAGACTTCTTGCACTCGTTTGCAGTGTTTTTTTTTTTTCCACCACTTATAATTACTTTGATTCTCTGTTTAGGTGGACTTTTCAGAATTCTCTCGGTTCTATGATTTTGTTTTCTTCATGTGTCGTGAAAATGGTCAAAAGAATATTAGTAAGTGTTCAAGATTAGTAATTTGTACCTAATCTTTTATTTATTCCATATGGTGGTTAGCGGTATGTAATACTCACTGTTTATTTCATTTAATTGTTAAAACTTTGATTATTTACAGCTGTAAGCAGAGCAGTAATGGCATGGAAATTAGTTCTTGCTGGGCGGTTTCATCTGCTTCATCCATGGTGTGACTTTGTTGAGGTATGATAATGCTTTGAGAACTGAGAAACTGTTTTGGGTCATCAGGGTTGTGGTTGAGTAATTTTAACCATATATAAATTTCTTATGGCGAATGCTGTCTATTAGTGGAAGGATTAGAATTTGTAGGTTAAGTGTAGTGTTTCGTGGGGTGGGGAAAACCTAGGAAGCACATGTACTACATGGGGCATGAGCTTAGGGATACAGCACATTCTAAAAGTTGTACTATATAACACTTTTACAGCAATGGTGTTATGAGCCAAAGAGTTGGTTGAGGTAGCGACCGCCAAAACCACATCACTTTGATTTGACATGTTAAGGTGATGATGCAGCCACATCACTGAAGTGATGTGGATGTTTGAAAATTAACAAAAGTTGTTCATAATATAACAAGAAATCATCACCAAAATAGTATTAATGCAAAATTGCAAATTATATTATAACAATTCATTAATATAACTATATAGGAAGCCATAGCTTTCAATCCCAGATAATGGCAGCAGAATGGCTGATCCTGAAACTGCTTTAGGGGATAGTTGGGTGACCGCTATTATGAACTTTCCATATACAAATAAATAAATTTATATTACATATATGTAAATGCTAAAAATAAAAAAGTTACCCATAATTAATGCTGTATTCCTAGTTAATAATTAGACGTCCTATTGTTAAGGCAAACACAGGAGTGAATAAGTAATAACAGTAAGAGTCAAGTCATATAAAAGGAAAAAAGAAGTATAGCAAGAAAGGATTAGTGAAAATAAGGAATATAAAGCAAAACATAGACCCCTATTTGACGTGAACAGAACAGACCCAAAAGATGTGATCAGAGTAGAGCCTGTAGAATGGTGTCCCAAAGTTTCAGAGTGTGGGGTTGGCTGGACACCCTACCAAGCATGCCATGAGTTGGCTGTAAAAGCAACTGAGAACTTTTGGTCAGATGGTTTGCAATTTGCATTGAAGTGAGAAGAGACCAGTGTTATTTAGCCTTCAAAAGGAGTGAGAGTGGGAAAATAGGGTTTATGTTCCGATGAAATAAAAGGAGGGAAAAATCCCAAGATTCCCCTCAACCCCTTCCCTTCCCAAAAAACAGCACCAACCAATATTGTTTGAGGGGCTAAAAAAGGGGGGATTTTGCGTCTAATGTAATAGCGGTTGTGATGCCAATAGTACTCATGATTCATGGCACTCCAGGCATGACAGTGAGCTGGGTTCCACCGAGCGGTCCATAGCCATGCAATGCCATAGCAGCACTATAGTGCATATTGACCACTCTGCTGGAAGCTGATGGCCTATATCTTGGTTTGCCATTTAAACGCTAAAATGGGGGGGGGGGGGGGGAGGGGGCTTGTGAGACTACCTCTAGTAGCATAAGATTAGGCATGATTCGTGTAAGTAATGACATGTTGAAGGAGATTAGAGATGCTCAGTTAGAGGATTCATTCTTAGTGGCTAAGGGGGGAGGGGTAGGAGGAGGGGGGGGGGGGGGTAAAGGGAGATTGGAAGCTTACCAAAAAAGGGAAATTGGGGAACAGAGTGGAAAACACAGGAGAGGCCAGGAAAGATATGAATAGACATGAGTCTGTGAAAGAGCATAGAATAAGAGGGAGTGACCAATTTTATGTTATAGGATAGGATTGTAGAGCTGAGAAATTAGGCTTGGACCCATGTGGCATCACCTTGCTTTGGGATCAGGGCTGCACAATACTATCATCCTATCATAATCTCAATGTATAAGTTCAGTCCGTTTAACATTTGAGTTAGATCATAGATGGATTAGACCAGGTTGACCCATGGGTCAATCCATTTGTACAACCTACTACGGTTGTGTTATTTTACTTTATTATTATTATTTTTTTTAATGCTGATCTATTAATTTTTATTTAGAAAAATCAACGATACAACATCTCCGAGGATACCTGGCAACAGGTTCTAGCTTTCAGCTGGTGTACCCGTGATAGTCTGGAAGCATATGATCCTGAAGGTACTGTTTTCATTGTGTGCTTGCTACAATTAACTGTAGAGTGTAGATATTGGTACTTAGATACCCCTCTCTATGTCATTTAATTAAGTATTATTTGATACAATTGTAGTTGCATGGTTATTTAATGCATCTGCATGTAATTAAGGTATTCTCATGTTAAATAGTGAGGTCAGTAAAAAAGTTTTTGGTATCCTTTAATTAATGGAAGAGGAGAGTTTCGGGTGGATGAGGTGGTTTGAGTTACTGATGCAATGATCAATTTTTTTTTTTTTCTTGCAGGTGCTTGGCCTGTTTTAATAGATGATTTTGTTGAGCATATGTACAGGTATGATTTCTTTATGGCCAAACAAAGCATCTAAAGTTTTTATAAGGTTTTTGAAGATAAATTATCCCTGTTAGGTTTACTGAAATATTAATTTTTGATATAGCCCAATGGCATTGGTTGGTCCATATAGTTCCCTAAGATGCCAAATATTGGATTAATATTTTATTGGTTGTGGTTGATGCCATATATATTATATAGATGGAGTGAAATGTTAGGTTGACTAATTTCATGAATATAACTACATGAGTTATCATCCTTTTCATAAGGGTTCTGTAGGATGACCTTCTTATCAGCGGATATTTTAGAGGAGATTGTGCTGAGAATGGTTTTCCTTAGGATTAGTAAATAGGTCAGGCGCTGTTTAAGGGTGGCATGTACCTGTTTTAGCTTACAAAACCTTTATATGGGTTACAAAAATGTTTGGAAGGTTGTTTATAATTGATCATGCTGATTAACTTATTGGTGACTTTCAGAATCCAGATCTCAAAAGTTGCTTCAAATTCAGGGTTATGTTGGTATTATGCACAATCCAGATGTTGGGGACTTGAAGTTTAGCATAGAATGTTCATTAAGATAGAATACAGTGAGTCGTTTAGGTCATCGTGGTGGTCTGATTGTATGACTGAGGAGGAGTCAAGGAAATATTGACATTATGTTATTATACTGACTCGGGACAAAATTTGGCTTTAGTTGGCCTTGTTCTACTGATTATTATGGTCTAGGCAAAATTTTCTGCCTGGATGAGTGAATTTTAGATTTCCTAGATGGAATAGGAATTTCAGAAGTTGTGTCTATTCAAACAGTGAAGAATAGGGGACTAGGCGACTAGAAGATCAGATACTTGCTGATAAGGAATAGAAGTGATATAAGTGAATAGTTGCCCAGATACTTCCAATATGCAGATGTGAAGAGGTACAAAACAAATCAGAAGCCTTCACCTAATGGCATAAGCATTTAGGACTGTTGGTCTTACGTGATATCAGAGCCTTTTGATCCAGTAGCAGGACTTAGGAGTTCAATCCTTGCTACACCCATTCTTTCAATTTAAAAAAGGTGGTTGAATTTTAGCATAAGGTAGAGCAGGTCTGTGTAATGTCCATACTTTTAAGTTCAAAGGGTCTTCCGTGAAGGGTTGTGTTAGAGATGTAAAAGCAATCATGAGTCTTCAACTAACAACTGAGGCTTTTAGTTTTAGGAGAATTGAATCTTTGACAGGAGACAAACTCGGTTCCTAGGATAAGGGCATAACGTTTCAAATCTGGAATTTGAATTTTAAGGACGATTCTGGAGGCCATTAGCCACTCAAGTGATACAATTTTGTTGGACAATATTTACTTCTTGTGATTGTAATTTGTAAAAGGGTTGATCTTGGCTTAACTTTTGGACATGGTAAGTGGTTTAAATGGCAGAATTTTCTGATATCCACAAGCTGGCATCGGATATTGCTGGACATTTTTAGGCTTTAACAATTTTCACAAAATGCAGTCCGGTGAAAGATATCCCATATTTAGAAAGGATAGTCAGCGGTTGTGTGAAATTCTGTGGGTTCTGTTGCTGAGACTGAAATACATGGATTTAATGACATTGCTTTTAAATCTTGCTGTATTTCATCGACAGAATCTATGGGGTTTTTCCTCCCTGCTGGGTTTAATTTGCCTTGCGTTCTAAAAATTTTGCAAGAAACCAATTTTAGGCATTGTTCCATGATTAATTTTATATACATTGGATTTTATTTGATCAACATCTTCGATTTTCATTTAGTACATTGTCATGCAGGGTGCAAGGATCATATTATGACAATTCCAACTGCCATTGTAGCTGTGGTGATCCAGAATCTCAGTCATATGTTTTTGAGGACCCCCTTCCTGGTCAGTTTATTTTAGTTATAGCCATTCCCTGATATAAGGATTTAGAGTCTCATTCACTGCTATATAAATCTGTAGTAGCTGACTATGGTTTTCATACAGGACTGAGAAGTTTTTCTAGTCTAAAGAGGAAGTTGCCTGAGGACTCGAGAAAAAATGATGATATGGAATCCAGTGACATGATCTTTTCAAATTGTAAAAGAAGTAGAGCTCATGATGCAGATCCAGCAGGGAACACAGCAGAGGAATGTATGGAAACCAGTAGACATAACAGCCCATTGTGTTCATCTATGTCCCCATGTGCAGTTGAAGGTTGTCTGTCTAAGGGATTTGCAGGACTGCTTTCAACGCGTTCCTATGTGGATTTTGGTAGGGAGAGAAGGGCTTCCTTTTGATGAAGTCATGAAGCACTCCCCTTATAGTTAAAGAGGTACATAGAAGTTTCTTTTGCTAGTTGATATCTGTTGATGTATTCATTTTGAAGGGGCTACAATCACATGAGTCTAGTTTCTCAATCAATATTCGTGGCATTGTATTTGTAACATCGTCATGGTGAGTGTTAAATAACTGTCCATTGCCTTTGATAAAATCAATAAAACTATAAAAGTGTTGTGTTTTATTTCAATGTGGTTCTTTCTTTCTTAGTCTTTCTGGAATTAATTGATGCTATTTATCAGTGATTCATATGGAAAGTTGATTTCATTGTCTCCAATATATAAACCTGGATTTGGAGACAGGTACATACGCTGAAGTTCTGAATAGTTATGTAAAATTTTAGAACTTGGATGAAATTTAAAAATCGTTTATGGCCTGTGTTTCACGTCATCAATCAGGTCTAGTAAAAAATGGAAGACGTGTAATTCATTTTTTTAGTTGGCTATTTATTTATTTTTATGCGTTGCAACTCGAAGTTGTGTTATATAACAATTTAATAACTTGTCATTTAGACAATGTGCCCTCGGTAAAATGTTCAATTATTTTTCTCAAGCAAGTTTCATTTATCTATACTAATATGGATACTTATTTTTATAATCATTTTTCGTCTCTACAATTAATGGATGATTATTTCCTTAATTATTAAGAAAAAAAATAATTTTAGTAATCATTATTAACCAATTCAATATCTATTCACACTATTATGTTTTTTATTTATTTTATTTTAAAAATATTTAGAGGCAAGAAGTATCTCTTTTCTCCTAATTGCTATGAAAAGAGTGTGTGTGTTTTTTTTTTATGTCCTAAATATATATAAGTTTGCATTTTGTTAAATTTGTGTGACTGAAGTTAGATATTCATGTATGTAAATATAATTAATTTTATTTTTAAGTAATTAACTATCATTAAATATTTCAGTAACCTTAAAATACTATTAACTAAGGTAAAGTGATATGCCTTTAGACATTTTAATACTAATAGTCACAAATTGATAATTAATATGATTTCATTTATTTACTTTTAACAACTTATAAAACAAAGTTAATTAAATTTATGATTGTACTTAGTCACACATGATGATCAATGATTTCATAATCCGATTAATCACTTTGAAGAAAAACTTTACCATATTATGTTAATTATGCATTATGGTTAATAATCTCTTTACATTGTTAACCACTTGTAATATAAAATCAACTACTATTAGATATTTCAATAATTTCATGAGTTATGATACCATTAAATAATTTATTTGTACTATAAATGTTTTATACACCACTATCTAATATTAGATTGTCATTTTTTACAATACTTATTTTAAAATTATATTTATAATAATTTCTAATTGGTTGATACCTATAACCTATACTATTAATAAAAATGATAATACTCTTGATATCCACTTTTTGCGTCCACTTTTATGTAAACATATTTATTCCTATGTACATAAGTTTAAGTTAAATTTATTTGCATAGTAATTATGTTTAACCTAACTTCTAATAACTGCATTGTCTCCTTTTTGAAAGACTTGTGATATAATATCTTTTATTTTGATTTTATTTTTAAATAACACACACATCATGATCGAGACATACTATGACTTTTTTACGTTAGTAATATATAAATAAAATACCTTTCTTTCATGTATATTTTTATTAAGACTTTCATACCTTTTATTATATTTCAATATTTTCCTACCAATGTATCTTTAAGGATAAAATTAAAAATATATAAAAAAGTGATTATCCACTCAATGAATAATATCTGCACACTTATTTTTTTTAACATAGACATGAAGTGATTTTTCCTCCATTAGTATAATATGAAAATCTTTTCGCTTACAAGTACAAGAAAATTATACTTTTAAGAATATGTTTTAGACTCTTGCTCGTATTTCTAATACTAAATATTCTAAAGTGGTGTTGGAATTAGAACTAATACAGTATAAAATATTTTGAAGAATTGTAATTGTGAGAAATGCTACCCGTGCAAATAATTTGATCAATACCAAATTTCAGTATACAATGATATTGTAATTGTTATAAAAACTATGCTCCTGATTTGAAATTAGGAGCGCTATGTTAACCAGAATTTAATATGGATACTGAATTCAACTTTCAAAAATGAGTATGACATAATCTTCATTCTTTTTTTCTTTTTTCCTTTTCTCTAATTGCGGTTTCATGTTTTCCTTTAGACCCTCAATATAGGGGTTGAGCTATTAGACTACGCGAGCTTTGGCATCATGTTGAATTTTATAAATGTCGCACCTCTTACACACCTTTTTATTTGATGTTAATCCACTGATGTGAGACTTATTTTATTTTCCAACACTATCTTATTATAGACTCTATTATCAGCATTTGCCCTATTTAAAGATTTTTTCCCCATCAAACCGGATTAATTGGTTTAACCAATTAGATCGTGAATTAAACATGTTCTAAACATGGTATGATCCTTAATTCCTTTTACATTGACACAAAGGGTCAACTATATAACAGTTACATAACCCAAGCATCACCAAAATTTGGCCTTCCCATTTCCCATCACTGAGGCTCTATACTAACCTATAAAGTTTAGAACTTGGTGGATAAAAATTAGTAGAGCTTTTGAGAACTTCTCTACAAAAAAATAAAGAGTATTTTTCGGTAGAAAATTTCTCAAAAGTGTTTCTAAGTTTGTATTCAAACAGACTCGTAAATAACTAGCACAATTCTCTTCCCTAATACATCAATTAGCACACTGAAAAGTATTCAACATGAACAAGCTCCATATGGACCAGTATTCTTAGATGGAACAAATGCCAAAAGTTCACCATTGGTATTTGGCAGCAAGAAGCACCTCCTCATACTGCTGAGCAGCATTGTCCCAACTAAGATCTTGTGTCATTCCTCTCCTTTGAAGCCCTTCCCAGCTCTTCTTATACTCCCTATAGGTCCATAAACAATTCCCTAATGCATCTACCAACTTACCTGAATCTGCACTATTAAATGTCCACCCAACTCCTGACTCACTAAAAGGATCAAAAGGCTTCACTGTGTCTCTCAGTCCACCAACAGCATGCACAACAGGAACTGTCCCATAATTCATGGCATAGAGTTGGTTCAATCCACATGGCTCAAACCTTGATGGCATAAGCAATATGTCTGCACCAGCCGTGATCCTGTGAGCCATCTTCACAGAAAAGCCAACCCAACCCCTTATCTTGTCATGGTGTTGGCTCTCAAATTGCCTAAGCATGCGTTCTAGATCAGGCCTTCCAGTGCCTAACATCACTAGCTGCACATCCTGGCCCATCAACCAAGGAATTGCTTCACCTATGAGATCAACTCCTTTCTGCTGATCCAACCTTCCAATGAATCCGATTACCGGAACATCCTTGTCCACAGGCAAACCAAGCTCCTTTTGCAATGCTGCTTTACATTTAGCCTTGCCACTAGAGAGTGTCTCAAGGGAGTAGTTAGTGTAGCCATCTGATTTCAAGTGAACATCAAACTCAGGGTTCCAATCTTTGTTGTCAATTCCATTTACAATGCCTCTCAGTTTCCAATCGTTATCATTTATGATCCCATGCAAGCCCCAACCACCTTCAGAAGTCTTGAGCTCCCATGCATATCCATGACTAACAGTGACAACACGATCTGCTGCCTTTAATCCAGCTGCAAAGATGTTGAAGTGGTCACCTCCAATGGGGTCATATAATTTGAAAAGGTCTATGTGGTGCTCAGGTAAATCCACAAGGAAGAAATCATCGACAGGCCCCCGACCCTGTAAGGAAATAAAGTTTGTTTCAATGTTCCTTCTCAATGTAGGAAAAAATGCAGTTTAGATTCTAACTATTAACTATTATGTAGATGAAACCAACTTCAATGATCTGGCTCCATTTGGAGTAGTTTCTCATTCAAAAGTAAGAAAAGAAAAAAAAAAAAAGATTTCTGGTTCATCCTACAAATAATTTAATATCTCAGGTGTGTCTGTTGAGTAAACATTTTCTTGATTTATTACTCTATAAAGAAATATGAACATTTCACAGAAAAAAATGACTCCACGTTTTTTTTATAACAGTATCTTTATAGGGATTTAAGAAATCTACCCTGGTGCTAGATTCTCTTACTAGATTCTCTTATCACTCTCATGTTAATCTAGTCAAAACTTATAAATAGGGAAGTACACATACTTATTGCTCAATAATGGAATTTTTTACCATCCAACAAATGGGATATATGCCAAATTTGGCTTATACTCACTCCAAAAAATGTCATAATTTATATTACCGAAATTTTCAACAAATTTGAGGTTGAAGTGCAAATTTGGAGCATAGATGTATTTTATGGAACAATTATATAGATATATTCAAAGATACTGATCCAAAGACATGTTTCCTTTCACTCATTTTCTATATTAATAAATCCTTTTATTGAACCTGATAAAAATGTGAACTAGGAATTCTAATCATTTTATAATCAGTAAATACACTTATTTCCATTCTAATTGCGTTAGGAAATCCATTTAAACCATGTTGAGTGGAATTTTCTTGAATTCCAATGCCCAAATGTAGAAGCAACTCTAAAGATGAATTGACTTTCAGTTGAATTGAACAAGTTTCCAAACACACCTTAATTATATTAAGTGTACAATATGCGTGACTAAAACATGAAAAACAACATATCCAGCAGCTTCTTCTTTAACTGTACAGAACGATGAGTTCACTATATTAAATGGTTATCTAGATAGAGATGGAACCTGGTGAGCTATGTTATGAATCACAAGAACTGATCTTGTATACTTCATTAAACCATGGTCACGATAATATGCCTTCAGATATACAGGCAGCAATGCAGTATGCCAATCATTTGCTATGAATGCCAAATTTCCATCTCCATAGCAAACACCCCCACATGGAACGTGCCAAGGAACCTGTAATTGTAAAATTCGTTTTGTCACATTGCAAGCATACAAAAATAAAAATTTGAAATAGAACTTGACCACTGATAAAAAATGATTCATAATAACCATGTTAACCACATCTGTCCACAATCTAGCACCAGGATATTTTTGTTTCCAGCTTAAATAAATAGCTTATGTAATCTGCTAAAACTCCCTTCAAATATTATATAGCTGAGTATCACTTTAACTGTTTCAGTTACAATGCCATTTAGTTTATGTACCTCAACAGCTGCCTTGCAAAACAGCACCATGCGTTTCAGAATATCCTGTTCCATAAATGACAACATGTGTCAAATGGCTAAAAAATAACGAAAAGATAACATTACAGCATTTTGATTACACCTTGCGTAATCATTTAGCTAATGAATGAAACCAATAGCTTACAAAATCAGAAGGCTATTGTTTTTGCCCTTCTTTTTTCTTTCTAGGGCCTTGAGAAGGTGCTGGATAATGTTATATGACAATCAATGAAAATTGAAATATGTAACAATGGTCATCAACTTAACAAAAATAGATTATTACCAATCGGCTTCCTCCATATATGTTACGTTCTAGATGATGAAAAACTGGATTGTCAATGAAAACAAAGTCTACACCATCAATGAAGGCTTGGAAATATTTTACTTCCAAATCCTGTAAACGATAGTTAGAAAGGTTAGTAATTAGTAAACCATTAAAAGTATAAGAAATTTAATAGATTCAAAGAATTTAATTGATTACTGATAAAGTAGCTTCTGCATACATGACCATTTACTCTGTACGTTTTTCTCACTCCTGTATCTTGGGCTTCTGCATAATTACCATAGCGAGGTGTCACAACCTATGAGGAAAATAGGGAAGAAAGATATTAGAAAATTCATATATTATTCAAAAGGAACCGGGAAAAGATTTTGTGAATTTCATGTTGTTCTTCATTTGTGAAGGAATAAATTTGAAGAGTAAAATCTCTTCCCATAGATGCGATAATCAAAAATTCATTAAGCAGCATTTTACCATAACTCTATGTCCACGTCTGGCCAAAGCCTTTGGTAAGGAGCCAACTACATCTCCAAGCCCACCTATGATTAATATTAGCACAAGGATAAGTCTTTAAATTACACAAAAATGAAAATGGCATGCTCACAAGGACTACAAAAGATATGACAAATGGTTTGACAAAGAGATGAAGAGAGTGAGTTCAATGGATCTTCTCATGGAAGTGGTGAATGGATATATTTTCCATATAATGGTATAAAGTTGTCTATGAGCAAGGTTTACGATGAAAAATATGATTCAAATGAGTCAAGGTGGTTTGAATCAGATAACAATGTAATAGCAAATGGTCTAATAAGTCTAATATATTCATTATGATAAATTTTGTTTTCATCTTAAAAAAGTTGATTAGGACTTAACTTAACCTTATAAAACTAGTTTATAATTAAGGTAAAAATTATTTCTCATTTATATACTCTATTTTAATCATATCATTAGTAAATGTGAGATTTTCAAGAAGTGTTTCTCAAAAATTCTGAATAATGCCTAACTTGGCTTATAACAGGACAGATCATCAACATGAATTTAACAAGGGAAACCTTAGATAGAGATCAAGCTAATTACCTGTTTTTGACCAGGGAGCACATTCTGCTGCAACCAATATGACATTCATGACATTGGTCCCTGCCAAAGGTGGGGGTATTTCAGTTTCACCTTCACCCTCAATAGTAGTAGCAGTTTCATTCACATCTTCCTGATTTTCAACCTTTATATTCAAAAGTTCAGTGCCATTTGCAAAGAAGGCTGAGAGAGTATCAGGCCTAATTGTTTCATGTTGATTGTCTTTCAATTGTTCATTAAAATATATTTTAACGTCTTTCTCCTTATTAGCTTCATCAGAGGTGGAACCATTCTGTGGACTTGATTTATTTAAGGGAGATTTGTCACTGAGTTCATAAGATATATTTTCCCCTCCTGATTCGGAAGAAACCAGTTTCTTTATTTCCACAACCTACGATGTACAAGAAAAAAACATGAATGAATGGGATAATTCACTGGATTAAGAAAGCATCAAAGAGATTAACGAAGTATGATGAAACAGAATTATTATTATTGATTGATTGTCAAATCTATTATTAAAATGAAAAGCTTTAAGTACATTTTAATCACTTTAAAAGGGTTAAATCTAATCCTAATATACTAATCAGTATTAAAAAGTAATTGCATCTAATTTATGGATTTTTTTAAAACTTTTCCATCTTTAAGTTGGTTCTAAAATTAAATATAATTCAATCTGATTTTTTATCTATCAAAATTACAATAACAATATCAAATTTTGAAATTAGAATCCTATACATACTATCTTAATCTGATTTAACTCAATGATTTGAATGAGATTGATTTTTAATTAAATTATTTTTTAAGGCAACGTTATAAATTTCTATAATGTATAATATATCAATAATAATTTAAAATTATAATACAATTAATATTGAGAATCATATTCATTAAAATTCAAAATCTAGACACTTTTTTTGTGCCAGTTCACACATTTATTGACTTTTACAAAAAAAAATTAACAAGTGATGATGATAATGATTTTGACTAGTTAAAATAATATTTCCTTTGTCTCATAAGTGTGATGTTTAAAGAAAAAAATAAGAGTTATATTAATTTTTCAATATAATATTTATTATTATCATTTTTATTTATATCTCTCATAATATTCTTTGGAAAATGATTTCTCGTTGCATCACTTTTAATAAAGATTAATAATAAGATTAATTTTGTAAAATTTTTATTTTTCATTTATTTATTAATTTTTTTTTAATTTGCATAAAATAATTTAGGACAACACTTATTATGAGATTGAATGAACACTTCAAATTAATAATATATAATCATTAACTCCTAGACATAATATATATTTGTAAATATATGCAAACATAAAAATTGTATTAGTTTCTTATTATTATAAATTTTGACAAAATTTAATTATAATCCAATAAGGAAATAACAACGTTAGTTAGTGAATGATTTTGACAAACACAATATCAAGAAGAATTTCTTTTAAACACTTAAGACATGTCTAACCTTTAAAAGATATAAAAAAGACGAGAAATAAGTGATTAATATAATCGATGACATATATAATAAGAAGAGAGAATTAATAAAAAAAAAATTACATAAACATGATAAACATTATATAATAAAGAGGGTAGGAGAGCAATATATAGATACCTGTTGAAGTAGTTCATTCTGCAAAGCTAGCACCTTATTCCTCTTTTGAGAGTTGGCCAGAAACACAGACTCTGCCCCATCTTTTTCCTCAAAGCTGTTATCCCCTATTGCCCTTATGCGCTTACTCAATCCCAATCTTTCCCAATGCTCAAAAACCGAACCATTTTTCACTCCAAATCTCAGAGGACGGTTTCCTCTACTGTGAAGCAGAACCAAAGCCTGGCCACTTACTGATGATGCCATCACAAATTAAGTACCACCAACAAGGTTCGTTTCACAAACTAACCAAACCTTTTCCTATTCAAGGATAACTAACTCTATAAAGAGACTTACTTATGAGGAATATGGAACTTGAACAACCTACCCATCTATATATACACTTTTTTTCTGTCTTTTTTTAATTAAAATTATTTACCTTACTTCAATAAATAATTTGTGAAATAAGTGTCTCATTAATACCAAAAATAATTTTTAAAAAAATATAAACTTAATGTTATTGATTAGGTTAATATTTTCAATCATGATAAATTAGATAATTAAATCTTATAAAAGTCAGTAAAAAAAATATCTTATAAAAAAATTTAGTGTGAGAATATTTTATAATAAGAACCAAGCAATTATATATATAGAGAATGTGGAATCTGGGAAATCCACTTGGTGGGTCTATGAGAAAGAGAAAGGATGGATGAGTTTTGAGGTTGGAAATGACAGAGGATTTTGGAGCAGAAATTTGAAGTGAAGATTTTCGTGTGAGAATTTCAATTGGCCACAATTATTCATAGATATATACGCGTCATTGTGCATGAATTTAAAACGTGGAATCTTATAGGTAAAGGTGGGACCATCAATGATGTTCTCCCTTTTCTTCCATTCCTCGTTTTAAGGTCTTTCCATTAATAATCCATTTGTTACAGAAGGAAAATCATGTAATCCTGTAAAAAAAATGTAATTACTGCTTTAGACTATTAAATTTGGAACGCATGAAAGAAATTCACAGAAGATACCTCTCTCTTTTCTCTGTTATAATTTATAAGTAAAAAACCTACATATTTTTTTTAATATAAATAAATTTCAACTACTTTTTCTTTATTTAATAATACTTAAAATAATATTTCTTTTTTAATATACAATTTTTTAGTTGCATTACTTTTATTTTGACATGTATAACAAAAATTAAATTGAGTTCTTAGTTGACTTGACGACGTATTAAATATAATTATATGTCTTGTTGTGTTGAATAAATTAAAGTTGATTAATTTGTTAAGTTATATGTTGTATTGTTGCTAGAGAAGTTATATGTTATATAGAAGTTAAAAATGTTGAGCTGTTTAGTTGTTCAGTATAATGAATTTTTTTTTATTTATAAGTTTAACTTGTATTTTTCTTGTGGGTGAAATTGTGATAACCATACTTGGTATAAGAGTAAAATATTATTAGTTGGATTCTTGGGGTTGGTTAGAGTGGTGAGTCATGCTAATGGTGACTCTCTTTTGCGTTATAGTTATTTTGATATAATGTGCTCATATATAGCCGCTCAATTGGTGAGTAAGGTTTATTTTACATATTATTATGTATTTAATGTAATTGCATTTATATTTGTCCAAGGTATATATATAGCTTATGAGAGTTTTCATTTTTGGTTGTTATTTTCTATTATAGCAAGTATACTTACACAATAACTTATATAACTATTAGGCATGACAATCTAACCTACCCCCGTGGGTACCCGCCCGAACCCGCCCCGATTTAGATGGGGAAAACCCGTGTTTATCGGGTTCG